GTTGCAGTGGGACTAAGCCCACACAATGCTACTTCTAAAATCTAGGGACACAGTTTTCTCTCCAAGTGGGAAAAGTTTTAGTCTTTTAATACAACTAACCTCAGAAATAACTTGCTATTTAGAACACACTGAAGTTTTGGTTTTCTCCAAGCTTATTCCACATGTTTGTCAGTCATGTAGATATGCCTTAGGACTACATGGAAGAAATTCAGTAACAGAATGAAGAATGCTATAAGGTTTATAGCTGTTTGCATAAAAATACTTTGACAGGGAATTAATTTAAGAACTGCTTCCTGATCATTTATGCTACTGAGGTGTTTTTGTCTCCCCATCATTTTGTTGAAGTAGATGATCTTGGAAGTGTCTTGAATCAGACATCAACTTGGTTTATTAATGTTTACAAAAAAGAAGCAAGGCCAAGTTTTGTTTCTGTTTATCTAGAGTGGGGGTCTGCAAACTTTTCCTGTAAATGACCAATTAATAAATATTTCAGGTTTTTCAGGCTACGTATGGCCTCTGCTGCATAATCTTCTGTGGTTTGCTTTTAACAACCCTTTTACAATGTAAAATCCATTCTTAGCTCTCAGGCCGTATATAAACAGATCCTAGGCCAGATTTGGAAACCCTGGTGGTATAGTGGTTAAGAGCTACGTCTGCTAACCGAAAGGTCGGCAGTTCGAATCCACCAGGCGCTCCTTGGAAACTGTATGGGGGCAGTTCTGCTCTGACCTATAGGGTTGCTATGAGTTGGAGTCAACTCAACAGCAATGGGTTTTGTTTTTTTGGTTTTTTAGGCCAGATTTGGCCTGTGGGCTGTATAGTTCGCTGACCTCTGATCTGGAGATCAGAGTCCCCAGTCTTGGAGCATTACAAATTCTGTTTGTGATGCTTGTTTTATTGTTTGTTTTGTTTTTGTATTTATTTTAGTCATTCAAGAAGTATTGAACCACAGACAAATGTATACTCCGAGTGAACTCTCTCTAGTGTAAAGAAAATTGCACATGTAAACGTTTAATAATTTAAGATTTAAGAAGCAGTGCAACCATAGAAGATATACAGTGGCAAATAAACACATAAAAAGATGTTCAACATTACTAGCCATTAGGGAAATGCAAATTAAAACCATAATGAGCCGCCTCTACATACATATTACCCATTGCCATTGAGTCGATTCTGACTCATAGAGACCCTATAGGACAGAGTAGAACTGCCCCATAGGGTTTCCAAGGAGCAGCTGGTGGATCCAAAGTGCCGACCTTGTAGTTAGCAGCTGAGCTCTTAACCACTGCACCACCAGGGTCCCACATACCTATTAGCATTTAGTATTATTGGTATTTTTTTTTATTTTAGTCATTCTAACATACCTATTAGAATGACTAAAATAAACTAATATTGATAATACTAAATGCTAGGGAGGATGTGGAGAAACGATCTTTCCTACATTGTTCGTTGGAATGTAAAATGATATAGTCAGTCTAGAATACAGTCTGGCAGTTTCTTAAAAAAAATAAACATCACAAGGTAGTTTATTTGTGGTGACAGAAGAGTTATGTATCTTGAGTATAATGGTGGTAAAATATATATGTGGTAAAATGTCATAAAATTATACACAAAGACAGAAAAAAATGAGGGCATGTGAAAAGTGGTAAAATATGAGGTCTGTAGTCTAACAGATGGTACTGTGCCAACCAGTTGGCTAGTTTTGATACTGCATTATAGCTATGTAGGATGTCATAGTGACCCCATGTGATGGAATAGAAATGCCCCATAGGGTTTTCTTGGGTGTTAATCTTTTATGTTCGTACCACCCACCTGTCGGTTAGCAGCTGAGCGCGCCGCCAGTACTCCTTAATTGTTGGTCATAATATAGTGATTATGAAGCTTGTGGCCCTCCAAAGTTTAGTCTTCAAGAACTGGCCATTTACTGGACTTCCTCATTGGCAATAAGAAAAAAACAATATGAAGGTAGAATGGGAAACAAGGCTATTCTTTGTTTCCACATAAAATTGGTTTTCCTGCCTCTTTTCTTTGATTGAGAAGTGAGCATCATAATGACTTCAAGAAGACTTCTGTGCCACTGCCTCTAACTGTAACCCTTTGCCATTGGTAGTTAGAGATGGTGTTTTCCTTTCCTAGTGTTGGTGTAACACTAATACCACAAGTGGGTGATTTTAAAGAACAGAAATTTATTTTCTCTAAGTTTAGGAGGCTAGGAGTCTGAATTCAGGGCACTGGCTATAGGTAAATTCTCACTCTCTGTTGGCTCTGGGGGAAGATCCTTGGCTCTTTCAGCTTCTCTAGCCCCAGTGTGCCTTGATTCCTTGAACATTTTCACATGGCATCTGTCTTCCCTAGTTTGTGCTTATGATGGCATATAACAGCAGCAACAAGATAACTAAGACAAAATCTTTGAAAACTCTAATTTTTTTTTTCTGGACTGCCAGAATAACGAACAAGCCTGTCTTGGAAGAAATACAGCCTCTCCTTAGAAGTGAGGCTGGTGAGACTTCATCTCACATATTTTGGATGTATTATCAGAAGGGAATAGTCCCTGGAGAAGGACATCATGCTTGTTAAAGTAGAGGGTCAGCAAAAAAGAGGAAAACCCTAGATGAGATGTATTGACACAGTGGCTGCAACAATGGGCTCAAACATAGCAATGATTGTCAGGATGGTGCAGGACCGGGCAGTGTTTGTTCTGCTGTACACAGGGTTGCTCTGAGTTGGAACCAACTGAAAGGCACCTAACAACATCATCAGCTTCATCTTTGAGGTCCTTTGAAATGTAAAGGTCACATTTGTCAAGGAGGGAATGAGGGTGCTCCCTAGGTGAATGGCACCAGTGGTTCAGTTACACATCATTGCGGTCATAAACACATTCTTCCCAGGAACAACTTGTTTACATCCTGACACATTCCTCCCATGAAAAATGGTTTATATCCTGACCTTTTGGTCCTTGGAAATGTATGTTGTAAACAAAAGTTTCAAACTGGAGGCGCTCATGCCAGACTAGGAATGATGGCACCAACATGCATTCTCAGGAAACAAAAAGGATGTAAATCATTTAGGAAGAATGTGTTAAGATGTAAACTATTGTTCTCAGGAAAAATGTGTTCATAACTAACCTAACAGGTCAGGATGTAAACCATTTGGGAAGAATGTGTAAACAATTTGCTCCCTAAACCGACTGCAATCATGAATAGCTGCCTACAATTCTACAATCAAGTATAACCAAACCTGCTATCGTCTCATACCTAAGTGGTAACTCACTCCTCCCTAACCAAGTGATTGACCTTTACATCTCAAAGGACTTCAAGGTGAAGCTGATCTTATTTACAATCAATCATTAACCCCGTGTTTCCTTTGTTCTCTGTGCATATAGACCCCACTCTCGCTTGTACTGTGGAGCACTTTGTATTCTACCTAGTGCTGCCCAGCTATATTGTTGTTGTTAGATGTCATCGAGCTGGCTCTGACTCATAGCGACCCTATATTTATTGCTACAGCTGTCATTCCTCAGTAAAACTCTTTTTCATTCACTCTTAACAGAATATGAGATTTTCTTCATTGACATTGTTTACCCTGCCATTCTTACATCCTGACATGAGCACCTCCATTTTGAAACTTTTCCATTTACACCTCTCAGAGTTGTTCTGAGGAAATGAGAGGAACAAGCTCAGGAAACCTTGTTTCAACTCTTTCCCCAATTCAAACTATTTTACTAAGATTTTTACAGTTCTCTTAAAAATAATCAGAACTCACCGGAATTTGAACGTAAGGTTTATTCTGAGCAGTTATTCTTTTTTTTGAATTTGAATTTTGTTCTACATTTTTCTCCCACTCTGTCTGGGACCCTCTACTGTGATCCCTGCCAGAGCAGTCGGTGGTGGTAACCAGGCACCATCTAGTTGTTTTGGGCTCAGTCTGGTAGAGGTTGTAGTAGTTGTGGTCCACTAGTCCTTTGGACTAATCTTTCTTTGTGTCTTTGATCTTCTTCATTCTCCTTTGCTCCACCCAGGATGGGACCAGTAGATGTATCTTAGATGGCTGCTTGCAGGCTTTTAAGACCCCAGTTGCTACTCACCACAGTCGGTTGTAGAACATTTTCTTTATAGACTATGTTATGCCGGTTGAGGTAGATGTCCCCCGAGACCATGGTCCCCATCCCTCAGCCCAGTAACTCGGTCTCTCAGGGCATTTGAATGTGTCTATGAAGCATCTATGACTTTGCCCTGGTGAAGGTATGCTAACTTCCGCAGTATTGTGTACTGAGCAGTTATTCTGTATGCATGCAGGAGGTCATTTTGATTCCAGAAAAAAGCAAATGACTAAAAGAAACTAGGTACAATGGGGCTTATAAAGAGAAGAAGAACCAAAAACCCATTGCCATCTAGTGGATTCCAACTCATAGCAACCCTATAGGACAGGGTAGAACTGCCCCATAAGATTTCCAAGGAGCGGCTGGTGGATGTGAACTGCCAATCTTTTGGTTAGCAGCCGAGCTCTTAATCACTGGACCACCAAGGCTCCATAAAGAGAAGAGGAGGGAGGAATATAGAAGATCAGTCATTGTCTAATTTTAACACGATTGATTGAACCCTTTTTTCCCCTCTTTGCTGAGATCATCTGATACCAGTTTATTTCTGGCCTAGCTGCTAATAATGTGGCCCACCACCAGCCTGCAACCATGAAGCTTTTTGAGATTTAAATTAGGAGATAATGGTTTGACAACTATCCTTTTCTAGCAGAATAAGACAAATTTACATTGCTATAGAGCAGTTTCTAGTAGGCTTTTGCAGTTTGGCTTAGGCTTTTTATGGTTAATATTTGTTTTTGTGGATAAGAAAAACCTTAAAGTCAAAGAAAGATACCTGTTATTAATTTTCCTGTTCAACAGTTCTAAGATGTTTTTCAGTTTCAGAGATGTGTTGTTATGATCTATGTAGTAAAATGTTGCTGTTGTCAATTAGTAGATAAATTTATGCAATTTTGTGTTTCAGGGATCATGAATGAAGCAGGCAAACATGAAAAATGGATTAAGGCTGATGCCCCAAAAGGCACTGTAAGTTTTAGAAGTCAAAGTTGGTTTCAGTCCTTACAACTGCAGGACTAAGGATGGTTTAAGTGGTATTTATAAAATTTAAACAATGAAAAGCAGCTCTATGACTACAAACATGCAAATACCACTGTTCATATAAATGTCGAAAATAAATGGAAATGAATACTGGTGAATTGTTTTGTTTTGGAAGGGGTCTTTTTCAAAGTTTGTGCTTAGCTTTGTATTAGTTTTTTATTGCTGTGTAACAAGTTATCATAAATGTATCAGCTTAAAATAACATCTATTTACAAGTCCACACTTCTGTAGGTAGGAAGCCCAGTACTTCTGGGCTCTCTGCTCAGGGTATCAGAAGGCTGGAATCAACGTGTTAGCTGAGCTAAGTTCTCATCTGGAGACTCTAGGGAAAAAGATCCACTTCCAAGTTCATTCAAGTTGTTGACAGAATCCAGTTCCTTGTACCTACATGATTGAGGTCTCTGTTTTCTCACTGGTTATTGGCCAGCAGTCACTATATAAACTTCTAGAGGCCACCTGCATCCCTTCTCATGAGATTCCTTCCATCTTCACGCCAGCAATGGTGTATTGAATTCTTCATGTGCTTTGAATATCTGACTTCTTCTGCAACCACCTGGAGAAAACTGCTTTTAAAGCTGTAAAGGAGAAGTTTATGAAGCCTTTTTTACCAAGACTAAATGATTGAATTAAACTCAGTTTTTGATGAATTAAACTGGTCCTTTTTACACGCCTGCCTCGGGCTCTTTATTTGCCCAGCTGCTCTCAGCAGTCAACCCAGACTTTTCACAGGCTAGGTGTCTGCAGTCTGGCTCCTTAATTGCTAGTAGCCACGGGAACTGAGGGAGTTTCACTCTGTCGTCAAGCCAGAACGTAAATGAAATACACTGTAAGGAAGGGAATCTTGACACAGGTGTGTTTCTGTGTAAAGTGAGCCTAAGAAATACTTCTTTATGACAAGGATTTAATTTAAAAAAAAAAAAAAAGTTTTGTTTTTAAAGGGTCCTGGAACTAGTCTTATCTAAAGTTTCCCAGACAACTTTATTTTTTTTTATTTGCTTTTATATATATATATATGTATATATAAAATACTTTGAAGGTTTACAGAATAGTTTCTCATTAGACAGTCAGTACACATATTGTTTTATGACATTGGTTAACAACCCCACGACATGTCAACACTCTCCCTTCTCGACCTTGGAGGACCTTTTTTTTTTTTGTTGGTGAAAATATACATAGCCAAAGTTATACCATTTCAAAAGTTTGTACATGTACAATTCAGTGACATCGATTACATTCTTCCAGATGTGCTGCTATTCTCATTATCCTTTTCCAAATTATTCCATCACCATTATCTTAAACTCACTGCCCCCCAGGCTTCCCATCAAATCTTTTGAGTTGCTGTTGTCAATTTGATCTCACATAGATAATTCTTTTTTTTTTTTTTGTAGCTTAGACGAAGGTTTACAGAATAGTTTCTCGTTAAACAGTTAGTACACATATTCCCCTGTGACAATGGCTAACAACCCCATGACATGTCAACACTGTCCCTTCTCAACCTTGGGTTCCCTATCACCAGCTTTCCTGTCCCCTCCTGCCTACTAGTCCTTGTCCCTGGACTGCTGTGCCTCATTAGTCCCGTTTTGTTTTATGAGGCTATCCAATCCCTGGCTGAATGGTGAACTTTGGGAGTGACTTCACCACTGAGCTAAATGGGTGTCTGGGGGCCACAGTCTCAGGGTTTCTCCAGTCTGTCAGGCCAGTAAATCTCATCTTTTTTTTTGTGAGTTAGAATTTTGTTCTACATCCTTTTCCAGCTCTGCCCAGGATCCTCTCTTGTGATCCCAGTCAGAACAGTCAGTGGTGGTAGCCAGGCACCATCTAGCTGTACTGGACTCAGTCTGGTGGAGGCCATGATAGCTGTGGTCTATCAGTCCTTTGGACTGATCTTTCCCTTGTGTCCTGTTCTCTTCATCCTCCCTTGCTCCCGAAGTGGTGAGACCAGTGGAATATCTTAGATGGTTGCTCATAGGCTTTTAAGACCCCAGACACTACTCACTAAGGTAGAATGTAGAACATTGTCTTTATAAACGGTGCTATGCCAGTTGGGCTAGATGTTCCCCGAGACCATGGTCCCTACAGCCCTCCGCCCAGCGGTTCAGTCCCTCAGGGAGTTTGGATGTGTCTATGGCACTTCCATGACCTTTCCTTGTACAAGTTGTGCTGGCTTCCCCAGTATTCTGTACTGTCTTACCCTTCACCAAAGTTACCACTTGTCTGTTGTTCCCAGACAACTTTAAAGGGTTTTGTTTTAACAAGCTGTTTCTGGGAAATGAGGTACTGGTACTGAATGGTTTTCACAAATCCCTGAGACATCTGGTTAGAACTGCCTAACATCAACCAGTGATGTTTTTATGACCCCTCATGACAGGTAAGTGACTATGATTGAAAACCTCTCTAATGAGTCCCTGAAATCAATCACTGTAAGCCTCTGTACCCAATTATCCAGTAGAAGACCATTCCCCACCTCCTAACCCACCCTTCTTGTGACCTCAACCAAAGACTACCCCATCAAACGACTGTATTATAATTTCTTTGTCCCTTGGACTATATCTGTTCCTGTTAGAGGCTCTGTAGTTGGAGTCATAAGTCTTCATTTATGTGAACTGATGTCTCTCTGAATTCGAATGTAGTTTTTTTTTTCTTTTACTGAATAAATCCTCTGAAGCTTATTTCAAGGACTCAGTGGTTTTGCTGTCTACAGCAAAGGGCTTGGTTGATTAGGTCAGGCCTACCCAGGATAGTATTCCTTTTGCCATATAAGCTAATATAATCACAGGAGTGAAATCTTGTAATATTCACAGTTCCCACTCATACTCAAGGGGAGATTATGCAAGATTATACATACAAGATCATGGGGGCAGTGATCTTAGACTTCTGTGTACCATAGCTCCTATGTGATATGCTTTCTACTTGGTACCTCTTACAACATCGGTATAAACTCAAGCAGTGAATAACAAAACTTACAAATGTGATACGATTGCTAGTGATTCTTAATAGTTCTGTATAATTTAAGACATACCTTGTTGAGTAGAAGAAACATTAAGCTGTTTTTTAATAATGGTATACTGTATAAGTTATTTTATGGATTACCTTTCTTTCAAATCCTACTTGTCTACTCCTGGAACATTTAAATTGTACAACACTAAATAGACCTATCTATTGGATTATATTTTTTATGATTAGGATAAATCAGTTCTTAAATACTGATTTCTAATAAACCTTTCCAAATAGTATTATTTATAATAGTCTCATTTTTGTAAATATCCCATTTCTTCAGAGTTCTCTCTGTTTTTAACTCCTGATTTATGAAACAAAAAGCCTTGTGAGTTACCTCAGAATCCCCTTTTAATTCATTCTTCATGAAATCAGAATTTTTACAAGTTTAGAAGATACACATTAGTATGTTCAATGTGGTTATGGTGTGTGTTAAGCTAGTAAGTAGAGGAAACTGTGAGGCAGTGAGTCAATTTTTAAAATCTTTTTCACCCTCATGCAATTATATAAATGTTGTCATCACTAAAAATAAAGTTTATGAAATTAGCTGACAGCCAGAAAGGTCATTCACGAACATGTCAGCAGTCAACTATATTTAAAAGTATTAATGAAATTGTACATATTTGGATCGCATAGTCAAGTCCCAAATAGAAAGAAAAAGCTGCCATATGTTATTCCCTTGGACACAGACCCATATATATATCAAATGCTTAAGAGCTAAAGACCTAAGTAATATTTTGGATGCCTTGAGTGCTTTGCACTGAGAACTTAAAGATTTCTCCACCTGTCCATTCGATTTTCCTAATCCCCTTTCATTGCCCACTTTTTTCTAGCACTTACCCTTTTCTTTCACTTCTGTAGCTAAAAAATTTGTCTCCCCAGAATGAATGAATATGTCTTTTGTTCTTGTTTAAAAGAGGCTCCTACTGAAAGGGTTTTGGAGCAAATTCTGACAGTAAAACAACATCTAGAGGGTTTCTAGAGAACATAATAGGGTGTGTTTCTCCTCACGCTGGTGTTCCCCATGCAGGTGTTCTTAACTTCCTTTAGAAAGCAGTTGCCTCTTTTATAGGTCTCTCTAGTACTGTGATTGAGACACATTGGGGCCAGACTTCTGAAGCCCACCTTTATGCAGCTGCCAGAAATATCCAAATCCAGTTTAAAAATAACCTTCTTGCAACAGTCATCTTAAGTCTCTTGGCTCAGGTCTTAAAACTTCCTACTCACTCAGCCTGTTCCCTTGCTATCATCCACTTCCAGGAACCATTCCACAGCTGAGTGATATTACCTTATTTCAAAAACTATTTCAAAGTCAACCTAAGGGGGGAGAATTATTAGAAGTGTTTAGTTAATACAAAGTGCCTATAATATCTTGTAGAGCTCATTTAAATAACTTTGAAATAATGTTCACATCCTTTATATTAAGCTTTATCCTTATTGCAAACTTGTGGGGTACACAAAGACAGGGATTAATCCCATTTAAGAGATGAGTAATTGGAGAAAAATAGAAAGGTTAAGAGGCTGATCTAATATTACTGACATAGTTTGCTTGTGGCCGTCAGAGCAGAATTGTGCTTTTTCCTGGTCTCTATCAAACATCAGTGTTGTATAATATCAAATAACCATAGATTGGCATGTGATCATTTGAATTTTGTTAAAATGTAAAAAGAATTGTTGTCTTTTATCAGAATAGTAAAAATCTATAGATGAAAGTTTATTAAAAATTAACATGTATGTATGAAATTAATAATCCACATCTATTAGCATGAAGGAGCCCTGGTGACACAGTGGTTAAGCGTTTGGCTGCTAACCAAAAGGCTGGCAGTTCGAGTCCACCAGCTGCTCCTTGGAAACCCTATGGGGCAGTTCTACTCTGTCCTAGAGGGTCACTTTGAGTCGGAATCAACTCGACGGCCGTGGGTTTGGTTTTTGGTTTTATTAGCATGAAATTGGGAAATCATCTTTTTGGCATAGCATAGTTTAAAAATTCCTCCACAGGTATAAATTTGATTAAAAAGAGATCTTTCTGAGACACTGTAGGGACATCCTTTTTATTCACAGATAGTTCTTGTTTTTATTGCATTTGTCCCTGACTATGTCCACTGTTGAGATGAGTCCAGGGTTAATTGGCATTAGTTTCCTTTTGTTGTCAAATGTCTGGAAATGATAAAGCCATGTTTTCTTTAAAACTATATATGTCCTTTACAAGAAAGCCTCGCAGATCTTAAAGTCACTGTCCTGGCTCAAACTCTTACTTTGACTTACACGGTCATCTCTGCTTTCTTTTCATTTCTAAAAACAAGCCCCTAAATTCCTTGTCAAAAAAGTCACACCTCTCAGGGTTGTTTCATATAACTGTAACCTTAGATCTAATAATCTCATCAAAACTACTGGTTTGGTTAAGTTAGAATTAGGTGGAAATTTTACATAGTAAGAGTACTTGTTTTGACTTTTTTTGTTTGTTTGTTTAAATCATGATTATTTAGATGGAAAAGCTAATGATGTATTTAGGTACATATGTAATCCAGCTAGTAAAATATTTGTATCAAGTGAAGAAAAGTTGCCAAGTTCTAGATTTTTTGCTCTTTCTGCTTGAGGCTGAAGGTTATGCTGTTTCCTCTTCACTACTGTACAGTGAGTCTTTGAATGTCAAGTCTAAATCATCTTTAAGTGTTGTCGTTTTGTAGTGTTCTGTGAGAGGCTTGCCTTCACAATCATAGCCAAACCAATGCGGAGGATCCTCAAGGCTGTATTCTTGGTGCTGAACTAAAGATGACATTCTGACAGCTGCCTCCCTGTAATAACAGTGATTAGCATTAGTTTACTGCAGAAGTAATCACTCACTAGTGCAGAATTTTCAAACTTAACTGCAACAGTCAAGTCAGAGTACTTTAAGCTCCAAATCTGATAGGAAATCCCTAATTAGCAATTATCAAGCAGATAGTTTAGAAGTTTGAGGAACTATTAGCAATTTACAATTAATTGTGAGCTAGTTTAATCAGATTATTTTCTTAACACCTAGGGGAGATTAACTGAACGGAAATACTTCAGTGCAAGAGGAGTAGAAGAGCTAGAGATAACACTACAAGAAGCAGCGTTAAGAAGTAGAAGGGCTACTTAGAAGGGAATATGGAACCACAAAGACCATTTTGGTTCAACTCACAATGTTGACTTCAGTTAGACAAAAAATCAAATGAAATTTTCTAACTCTGAAAGTCACTGTGATGGTTAAGGTTGTGTGTCAACTTGGCTTGGCCACGATTCTCAGTGGTTTGGCAGTTATGACGTAGTTTGGCAGTTGTATAATGATGTAATCACTTCCATGATGAGATCTGATATAATGTGATCACCTGCATGATGGGATTTGCTGTGAGTCGCCAGTCAGTGGAAAGGGAGTTCCCGTGGGGGTGTGACCTACATCCAATATAGGTGGACTTTCTGGCAAGGCTCGCTGGCTTTTGCTTGCTCTGGATCCTACAGCTGGCTCCTGTTCATCTGACCTCTGGTTCTTGAGACTTGAGCTAGCAGCTTGCCTGCCAATCTTGGGTTTCGTCAGCCTTCACAGTTTGCCAGCCCCAGCAGCTATGGGAGTTGGGAGAAAGAAGCCTCCAGCCTGACCCATGGATTTGGGACTTCCCAGCTTCTGCAACCATGTGAGCCATTTCCTTTATATATCTTTCTCTCTCTCTGTGTATATATATATGTGTGTGCATATATATATATATGTATGTATACATATGTATGTACATATATACACTTCACTGGTTTTGCTTTTCTAGAGAACCTAGCCCTAAGGTAGCCACTATGTATTAAGAATGCCATAGTCACATATTTTGGTTTCTCATAAAGTAGTCCTCAAAGATTTTCATATTCAGGTACATACTTACATGGAAATATGTCTGCAGTATCTCATCCTGAGGATCCGGAGTTGATTGCAGCCTCTCTCAAGGTTCTCAAGGATTTGGTCAGTAAGCAGGATACAACCAGAGATATCCAAAATATGCAGGTAGTGGCATTTTGCCGATAACAATTCCATCGCCGAGTCAGTAATCTGAATACACAGCCACAGTAAGTACTGATTAGTCAGATGAACCATCCCAGAGAAGAACAAAATCAGGACCCTTGCAGATGCTCTTTTACCCAGCTTGTCACATGGTGTGCCTGTAACTCAAATTAGTGGTTTACCTCTCTTTCCAAATAAGGTCAAAAACAATAAAATATATGTCTCGAGTGGTACCAATATAATTTCTGAGCTTGCTATTATTTTCATTGTAGAGTACTCTGGTATGGATGGGAAACTTCATTAAAACTTCCATTTTAATATTTATTACATCAAATATGAACAACTTATGAAATGCTGCAGAGATAGGGTTTGGCTTTGAACTTAAAATCTCTTCTAAGGCATCAATTTGGGAACGTAGGTTTAATAACTTTATTTCTACAAAATAGGTTTAATAACATTATTTCTACAAAATGTGTACCTCCTAAAGTTAACCTCCAGACAGGATCAGGTTGCCTTGAGGAAAAGTCTGGATATCTCTGATGGTTTATATGTAAAGAAAGGTGGAATAACCTGAGCTTTTTTGTAAAGGGACAAGTAGGTGAGACAAAGTTTAGAGGCAGGGGGAGAAAAAAGCAGAAGCCACAGAGACTGCATGAACCTTGCTCTGAGAAATTATCCTGAGGGTTCCAGCATTTTGGGAGTTTGCTTCAAGGTTCTGCAGAAATTATTCAACACTACTACTTAGATAATTTCACTTTCTCAGGGACTAACTTTTGAACTTAAAACTGAGCTAAGAATTGCTGCACAATCAACTAGATTACTATTCACAAAGGAATTTTTTTCCAACCAGATTTACTTTCTTATTTTAAATGGTTGAACATTCTAAAAAGCATACCATGAGGCTTGCTCTTGTTTTTAACTTAAAGTTGAGAGAGTTATGCAGAAAAAAACCTTGCCTTTGAAATGTACACCTTTTAAGTTCAGAAAAAATAGATGTTGTCATTGTCTAAGCATGTCCTGTTTTCAGAACATGCTCAGGACCAGGGTTTAACATGCCAATATCGCAACTGACTCTCTCAAAAATGCCTTCAGATATTCTTGACATACTATATAGGTCTCTGAGGATCTGATGTCACTGAAAAAAAAAAAAAAAACAACAAGAGGCTCTCAGAATTGTAGAAGAAAAGAAGGACGGTGAGGTGAAGGAAAAGTCAGGGTGGGTGGAGCTCAGAGTGCTAGATTTTATTTGCTAAGGGAAATGCTAAAAAGGAGCCTGGCATTTCCTGTAGATCAGAAGCTCAAGATGTCCAATGACTGAGGTGATATTGTTGGGATTTATGGATTGGGGTCTGGGAACTGGGGATAGAGATGACTGGATACATTCTTAACTCCCAGACACATGGCCGTGATCTCAGCCCCAGTGGTCAGAGATTATGCTGTTCCCAACATAATTAGTTTTGATGCCTTGAAAAGTATTTTGGCTTGTTTTTAATAAAGTTATTTCATATTTTAAAAATAATATAACCACTTTCCAAAAAAATTAGCAAAAGTAGCTAAGGAAAAACAAATACAAATTCATCACCCTAATGTAACCACTGTTAATGTTCTGGAGTCTGTCTTTCTAGGTCTTTGCCCACCTCTCCACCCCCAATTAACAGAATTTTAAATATAGTACTTAATTTAATTTTGAATCCTGCTTTGTTTTTTTAACTAATGAATTCCCATACTACTTCACAGTCTTCATACTTAGAATCTTTAATAATTGCAAAATGGTTCACTTAATAAACAGAATAATTTACCATTTCCATACTTCTGGTCATTTCAGTATTTCTTTTACTATTTAAACAATATCATGATGAATGTGTTTGTGAATACCATCTTCAAATTTTGAATTGTTTCTCTTAGGACAGATTCCAGAAAGTGGAACATAGGGTATGACTGTTTTTGTGGCTCTTGTTTATGTATTTTCATGTTGCTTCACAAAAGGATTGTAGTAACATACAATGCCATCTGTAACATAAGAACCAATTTCACTGAATCTTTGCCACCTACCGGGTATTACCACTAAAAATTATGTAATTTAGTAGGTAATAAAAGTTGTACCTCAAATAATGCTTTAACTTGCATTTCTCTGTTATGTTGAATCCTTTTCCATGTTGTTTGAATGGTTTGAATGCCTGCTGTGCCACTATCTAGTTACCCAAGATTGTCGTAAGGATCAAATGAGATATGTGAACAGTGACTAGCATATAGTAAATACTCAATAAATAGTAGTTATTATGTTTATTCATCTCCTCTGCTGTTAACCTATGGGATCTGATTTTTTTTTTTTAAATATAGGGGCTCTTTATAGCAAAAGAGAGCTTGACCACTGTCTTTTCATGTTTGCTTAATTGCACTTCTTTTAAAAATATGTTTACGGAAATCTTATTGTGATAAAATATGCATAACAAAATATGTATTAAAAATTGTAACCATTTTTAAGGGTACAATTCAATGATATTAATTACACTCACATGTTGTACAACTATCACTGCTATCCATTTCCAAAAGTCTTCCATCATGCCAAAAAGAAACTCAGTACTTGTTAAGTAATAACTCCATTTCCTTCTCCCCCGGCCCCTGGTAATCACTAATAAAATTTTGTGTCTATGCCTTTGTTTATTCTAGCTATTTCATATAAGTGGAATCATTCAATATTTGTCCTTTTGTGTCAGACTTATTTCACTCAGCATAATGTTTTCAATGTTTATCCAGGTCGTAGCATGTATCAGAACTTCATTTTTCTTTATGGCTGAGTAATAGTCCATTGTTTAGGTATGCCACATTTTGTTTATACATTCATCTGCTGATGGCCACTTGGGTTATTTCCTTCGACTATTATAAATAATGCTGCAATTAACATATCTGTTTGAGTCCCTGCTTTCAATTCTTTTGGTATATATCTCAGAGTGGAATTGCTGGGTCGTATTATAATTCTACGTTTAACTCTTTGACGAGATGCAAAGCTCTTTTCCACAGAGGCTGCACCATTTTACATTCCCACCAGTAGTGCACGAGGATTCCAGTTTCTTCACATCTTCACCAACAGTTATTATTTTCCTTTCTTTTTCTGATAATAACCATTCTAGTGGGTGTGAAGTAGCATCACATTGTGGTTTTAATTTGCATTTCCCTAATGTCTAATGAAGGAGCCCTGTGGCACAGTGGTTAAGCGCCTGGCTGCTAACCAAAAGGTCAGCGGTTCGAACTCACCAGCTGCTCTGCTGGAGAAAGAAGTGGTAGCCTGCTTCTGTAAAGATTTATAGCTTTGGAAACCCTATGCGGCAGTTCTACCCTGTCCTATAGGGTCACTATGAGTCAGAATTGATTTGATGGCAACAGGTTTGGGTTTTTTTGGTTTTTTAATGTTTAATAATGTTGAACATCTTTTCATGTGCTTGTTGGCCATTTATATATCTTCTTTAGAGAAATGTCTAATAAAGACCTTGGTCTGTTGTTCAGTTGGGTTGTTTGTCTTTCTGTTGTTGAGTTTCAGTGCCTGTTTTGATTGTCTGAGAAGTCAAATAATTTCACTAGCACCTCTAGTGGTGATCCCAAGAAAAAGAAAAATGCCTCAAAGAAGGGCAGCAGGAAAAGGGTCTCAGTAGCCCACAAAATGAACTTTTGGATCAATAACAATTGGTTACATCAGATGTTAACTAATGAAAATCTAACGCAGTAAGAAATGAGTTGCCTTGAAAGGCCTAAAAGGGTACCTGAGTTTTTTTGCTCCAGCTTTTAGATAAGTCACTGAACCTTGGTGGTGGTGGTGGTGGGGAGTTTCTTAAATATAATGAAAATATTTGGGATACATATGCAAGAGAGGGAGAGAGGCTCTGGAGAAATCATCTCCTTGGATATTTGGCTATTTCTTAAGAGCTCTGCTCTATTATTTTTATTTATTTGTGAGAATACGCGAACGGTGGTTTAAAAATGGCCACAAATGCTTTGCATGCAGCTCCTCCCTGCAAAAAACGGAGTCTCTTTCCCCAACCCTTAAATCTAGGCTAACCTTGTGACTTACTTTGACCAAAAGACACCTTGCAGCTTCCACACTCTTTGCCCACTTGGAATGTGTTTTTGCCCTTTGAAGAAGCTCAACTAGCCTACTAGTAGATAAAAACCACATTAAGCAGGGAGAATCCATTGCAGCTGAGGCCCCCCCAAACCAACCAGCTCTGAGTTAAGCCAATAGGTAACTGCAGCCACATGAGCAACCCCGGCACCTTGAGACCAGCCCAAATTGCTGACCTATAGAACTATGAGCAAATAAAACAGTAGTTGTTTCAAGCCACTAATTTTGGGGTGGTTGATTACACAGCAGTAGATAACTGAAACACTAGCCAATGCCACATGCCAGGAGTTTCACTCTCCGTAAACCAAAACCAAACCAAAGCTGTTGCCGTCGAGTCAATTCCAACTCATAGTGACCTATAATATATGGTAAAGTATGATACACTGATCACATCTAATTTGGTTTTCTTTCTGAACCTTTTGAAATCTCTAAACTGAAAGAATTTCTAAACATGTCAGCCAGCTGCACTAAGAAAATAAAGGTTTAAAGAGTAGGATTGTCATGTGGAATTCCAGAATTAGCAAAGAGCTTACTCTTCTCCCTTTACACTACAAGTCTATTGGGAAAAACCCTGGAATTGGAGTTATTTCATTAAAGGGTAAGTCATTTGCCCTATGCCCTGTACCTTTCCTTTCCTTTCTCCATCTGTAAAACCAGAGTAACTAAAGACAAACAAAAAGTATTGTTAAGAGGCTTCCGGCAAGATGGCGCTCTAGGCAGAAACACCACGCCATCCCTCCACAACAAAGATCCGAAAAACTAAGCCAAACAGAGAATCAACAATCCTGAAACCCTAGAACATCAAATGAAGAGATAAA